GAATTATACCTGTCTCTTATACACATCTAGATGTGTATAAGAGAGCGTCTATTTTCATTCCAATCAATGGCGTTTGTAAACATGTGTACTGACGCCATCGTCGAATCCCTGGACTTTCGACGGCAAAGCTGGCCTGCCTGGTCCCAGGCCAACCAATAATAATTAACAAAATATATTATATTTTTCTTTAAATATAGGCCTATGGCGCATCCTGTACATGCACTTAAACTTTTACAACAAAAGCCTAGGCCTAGTAGTACGTCCTACTGTACATAAGCCTAAGCCTACACTAGTTTTATGTCGTCGGGGTATAATTCTGTCTCTAAATGCAGCGTGACCACTAGGGAAAATCAAAATTCAAGATTGGGTCTAAAAAATCCCAAGATTGCTTTTAAAAACCCAAGATTCGCAAAATATTAGTACTGTATATAAACTTCATTTAAAAGTCCTTCATTTTAAAGCTTTTTCAATGAATCATATTCTGTACAGTATTTTGTACTGTATAAGCCTTAACGAAGTGTCTGATTTTCGAGACCAGAAACTCGTTCGCTTTCTATTAGAAAATTTGAAAAACTATTACTCTGTGCGTCCGTGGAAAATCATTTTTGGTGATAAAAACGTGATATCCTTTCCTCTGGCATTGTATATTAGGCCAAGAGTTAGAAGTTTGTGCGCAATTTCACCCATTCGATGTTAACAAAGTCAGTACTTCACACAGTACATTAGGCCTACCGGGCCTTATTATATACTGTAAAAGGGCATAATCGATCTTTACAGAGTGTCTAATTGATCTGTCAATTTTATACCAGAGGGGCCTACAGTATTGCATAGGAGTATTTAACAATAAGAGAAATTGGGAAAACAGTTTCCTTTGAAATTTACTTAGGCGAGCGTGTATGAAACCGGGTCTATGGCAACTATAATTTGATACTACGTCTAGAAGTGTAGAGATACGGACCTATTAAAAACTGTTGCATTCTAAATGATTACAAGATTACCAAGCATATAAATGAATCAGTCTAAAATGATATTCAAAGATATTACACTGTACAGCTAACCGCTAATGTTTGTTTTGCATGTCTATACACACCGTCACTCACAAATGTATATAAAAATTGGTCGTAAAATTTGATAAGTTGACCATTAAAATATATTGTAAATATTTATTTAAATCCGTACACCGATTTTGTTTCAAGTTGTTTGTTTTCAATATTATAGCTGTTTCTTTA